TGATTACTGATATTTGTGTCACTATAACTATTTTATTATTGGGGCTGATAATAAATTATATCAAAACATATTTTCAGATTTAAAAAAGTAATGCTATATTTTAAAGTGTAATAACCTTTTAATATCCATCCCATAATGACATAAATTAAAGAAAACACACAGAATGGTGACGCTGCCACCATGATTCACGACACATTTACTGTCCATTTATGGCCTATAACAAATCAATGTAACATTGTTCTGAGAGGTCACTGGTGAATCGTTTTGATTGACAGGAGGATGCTCTTCCCTGACGGTAATGGCCTGGGGAATGAAAATGATGTGCAACATGTGGCAATCTATCTTAACAGTAAAATGGGGGAATCTGATACACAACTTTAGCGACTCTCTACATTTCCATGATTGCCAATAAGCATGAAAAGAATAATATTTAAAATATTGTTTAGCCCTGATCAAGAGTCATTTGAAGTTAATGTAAACAGAAGCACTTCATAGAACACTTTTAGCTTGTCTAATTTTAACTTGAATTCATGATTAAAACTGTTGATTATTTTTACACATTTTATTTGGCTAGACTTACTTAAATCACTTTGACTCAGGTACAAGTACTCAGGTACAGAACATTGTACCTGAGGTATTGGATCTAAAAATATTCTATAACAAATGTTTTATCTTGATACTCTTATGTAATTAGATAAATGAGGGTTGGTTTAGTTATCAGTTTATATGCTTGTTACATTTGGTTGGGATTTTCAAAATAATGGTTATGCAACTGAAATAACACATTTATGCATTAACCACTTTATAACTTGCCCTCTTTTGCATTGAATCAGTTGTTTAACTATTGTGAAAATAGTGAGAAAAGAATGATCACTCTTTCTTTTCTTAGGTCATAAAATATTGAGTTAGGTTATAAAATATTATTAAAGTATAATATCATGATTCAGTCATGAAAAAACTAAGTTTTTGTAAAGTATGCTTTTAAGTAGAAAAGCACACTGCCAACCTGAGGACTGTGGACATGCATTTTTTCAGCAGAGGCAAAGAAGTTAGTTACAGTGGTTGAATACAGCTAAACACAGGATAATCCTGGAAGAAAGTCTGTACAGTAAACCAAACATACTGCCAGAACCACATTGGAATAGTTAAGATCAAAGAGTAGTCATGTATCAGAATGGCCTAGTCAAAGTCCAGACATAAATTAAAATGAGAAGTTGTGGAAAAACTTGGAAACTGATGTTCACAGATAATCAGTCAGTGCCCACACTGACTGAGGAGAGGCATTTTTAAACAAAAAAAGGGCAAAAGTTCAAGCTGTATATGTGCAGAGCCAACAGGAAAAAACAAAAGACTTTTATGTGCAGCAAAAGGGTATTCTCATAATTGCTAGCATAAAAGGTCCCAATAACTGACATCAGTTGTTATGATGTCACGCAATGCGAAAAGGTTGATGGTGCGAATACTTTTGAGACCATTCTGTCAGATATGATTTAAATATTACGGGGATATTTTTGCCATGTCAAAAGAATATGAAGCGTAGAGTTTTTTGTTTTTTTTAAAGCTAAATCTGTTGTTGAACTGGTTTATTAGTTGCAGAATTTACCGCAGTCAGATATAATCAGGATTTTATAGTTCGGGGTGTCTTTTGGGGACTATCCCTTTAAGAGAAGTTACCTGAGAGGAGGGGGACAGGTGTGAGCTGCTTGAACATCACGCTAATCCGCAACTCTGTTAGTTTCTGCTCCTCTTAGAGACACTTCACGAGGAGTTCAGAGCACAGGTTCCGCAGGGTCAGGGTCGAGACGGTGAATCTGACTCACTTTCTCTCACTCCGCATCTCCGAGCTCGAGCCCTCACGCCAACTCAACCGTCAGTGACGTCTGCGTCACGTGTGCGTCTCTTCCCTCGGTACGTCCGTCGTATTTTCCTCCCCTCCGCTGTCTGCTCCAACACCGAGACAGAGCAGAGCCGAGCCGAGCCGAGCCTGGCGAATTAAACACGAACCCAAGACGGAGTCTCGCCGTCCGGACGCCGGGTGTCACGTTTGTCTGCAGCCGATGGACGGAGGGGTCTTACACCTATAAGTTGCCATCAGTGAAGTCCGTTAGTGGCTCCTGTGTGAGCCCGTATCAATGTAAACTTTTTATTTTTAAAGAACGTTCACTGCGCACAGTGAGATCCAACAAAGCGAGGTGAGTGTGGTTTGTTGATACTCATCTATTTCAGTGTTTCATCTCAACTAAAACTTATCCGAGCTGAGGGAAAGCCTCACCTTTGTGGGCTTTGGCTCAGCAGCGCTGGCCAGCTGCATGTCGCCTGCTTAAAATGGCGACAGCCGACGGGGGTGGGAAAAAGAGAGAGACGGTGTAGTTTTTTGGGGGGTTCTCTGGGGGCTCGCCTCTTTTCTCCGATCTGAATTGGCTACACTGCTTGCAACCCTTAATAATGCACATGAGCGAATTAAGTTGGGGATTACTCCGCCTTAAGTTGAGCGGAAGATGCATCATTTTCGGATACGTTTAAAGCTGCTGCGCTCAGGGACTCGTCGAGACACTTTTTCACACCAGCACTGCATTTCTAGAAAATACTATTTCATAGAAGTAGTAAATATACGTTTTCTGTTTACGTTAAATCTCAACCTGTTAGAAAAATATTCCCAAATTTTCCCCAAAATCAGTATTTCATCACGATAGAAATTAGAAATCACAGCCGTCCCAAGCACCCCTCTCTCCGTTTTCCTCTGTGAACCATAAAAGGATTTTACAGTTTATAAAAAGTTATATTTTGGCTCAGATCGACTTTAGTTTTAATCAAGACTGACCCAGAGTTCACAAACAATAAGCAGCAATGTTTATTTTTATTATTTCATGAAGCGTTCAAGTGATTGTTTATCATTAGAGATCGTAATCGGCCAATTTCCCCCTAATTGGGTCTCGTTAGTTGTTTCTGAAATAAACATTGCAGTCCATCTTTTATTTATAAAGCACTTTTAACTACTACACAGTACTAAAGTGAGGAACAGAAAAATAAATTGACGTTTTCTTTCGTATTGATTAACTTCATCCCAACTTAGAACTCAAATCCTTTTCAGAGTATGACGTCAACCAACATTTATTTTTATGCACTTAATGGGTTGACTAAAAATTAGATAATGTCATGGAGGCTATGATGCATAAGCAGAGATTAACATTTGCTTTCTGATGGTGAAAACTGCTATTTATCTTAGTGAAATCTGCAGCACACCTTTCCGTTTGCTGTGTTTTAGCCCTTTAGATATAAAAATGACCAGAACCAGCAGGTCAGATCTCAAAGGAAACCGGATTTTGCTGTCGACCAAGAAAAGCCTGGTCTGTGCATTTCTGTTTATCTTGATAGTGTTGTCATTAGTGTGTGTCACTCCTAGGATTAGACCAAAGCTTTCCCAGGAAGCTAATTTGTGTCTGCCGTCCACGTGAGTCTCAGGTTCGACGCACAGCTTAATCCAGCTTTCTGTTTATCACCAACGGTCCACTCTCAGTAGTGGCCGCTTGCCTCGTTATTGCTGATGAAAATAAGGACTCATGAAAAGCTTGAGGTGGATCAACTTATCAATCATGCGAGAAAATATGTTGAACTCGTAATAACTGTCCAGTGGTGTGCAATTTTTTTTTAAAATTAAATTGACATTAGAAACACAGCTGGGTAATGATTTCCACTTTAAAATATGGTTTTTATATGGATTAAAAACAAATCAACCGCTTTATTCTGTTAAACCTTACTGTTATCTTCTGAAAGTTTTGATCTCTCCAGCAGCTTGAATGAATAACGGACCTGTCTCGATAACAGAAAATACAGTCTCATTCTTAAACAGCTCACATCACTTATGAAAAAGAGCACACTTGGAGTCCTTTTCGCTCAGTAGTAACTTCCATACTGGGAAGTGTTGATGTTCTCAGAAAAACGTAACATTTTTGAGTTTTCATCTGACCTCCAGTGGTCGGAGCTGATGAAGCTAGAAGTTGGGCGACTCCGGTCACCACCTGATCTCTTGCTGCCTCTTTAAAAAGAAACGGGCTGATCATCTGGCGTTAGGAAACACTGTCGGAGACAAATGACTTTTGACAGAAGTTGGAATGTGCTCCCCTTCTCTTCACAAACTGCTTACATTTGTTTTATTGTTGCCAAATCTTTCTTTCAAAGGCAGTGTTGTCAAATAGAGCTAAAGGACTTCGCTGCAGCTGCACAGAATACAAATAAACACATTTAAATGAGGAATTGGATTAAAAATAAAGTGTCAAATTAACAACAAAAACCCCCACAATCGGTTGCCTTATGTGACGTCACGAGAGGCGTGTGCGTTTGGAAGCTGGTTTGTGGGAGGTTAGATTTGATCTAAGTTATGTAACAATTTACAACAACATAGCAAAACAAATGGTGTTGTTGTGGAAGTGACAAACTGTAACTAAACTGAGTTTGATTCTCACAAAAAAAAAAAGTCGTGTTGGTGCTGTGTCTCATCTTGGTGTGTAACTAGAATTATGTTTCATGTTCTTTCTGTAGGAAATAAAAATCTCAAGGCATTTTATAAAAACTGCAGGTCCAGTTCATGTCCATAATGTATTAATCTGATACAGTCCAATCCTATAGAAAGATTCAGTAACACGCAGCCCAGTTTAACCTTAGGTTTAACACAGTTAGAATACAATATGGCTTTCCATATTTGTGCTATTCCCTCGCTGCTGTCTTTGATGCTGTGGTTTAACTTACCAAATCCAATGGTATATAAAGTAATGTTAAAACTAGGGCTGCAGCTAATGATTATTTTTGTCTTTTACTATTCAACCAATTAATCTGATAAAAAAAAAAAAACAACTGACATATTGTGCAGATTTTTTGCTTACCCACTTAAGCCTTTTTTTATACATTAGAAATACACTAGAAGATGCAAATTGATGCAGCAAAAAACAAAAAACTTGCCTAAAATTCGATACAAAAGTCTTTCCTTACTGCATGCTTGATCATTTGTAGCAAAGGATCCATTTGCAGCTGAAAATACTTTTAACATCAACATGTGAAAAGCTCAACCCTTTCTGCTTGACTCAATGTCAACACAGCATAGGGCTGATCTGTTTACTGTTGTTTTGAATTAACCAATTAAAAATTCAGTAGTAAAAGGCACTTAGCAAAATTTGTTTCTTTTTTTTAATCTTGACTGTGAAATGAAGACATTCTTTGGATAATTTTGGCTTAACTACTGCTCTAAGTGTGTTGTTTTTGTCAGCAGATAGCCTTTTTTATGTATGCTCCAGGGAACGATTAGTCGATTATTGAAATAATAATTTATTGATAAATTTATCCGATTAATTGCTTCCGCCCTCGCTATGGCCACTTTGCTCTACAGGCTGCTTTATTTTTGCCTGAGTAGCTCCAGATTTATTTAGCTAATAACTCTTCTAATGAATCGGTTAACATGAGAAATGTTCTGACTGCATCAGGCGAGTTGAGTCGCTTTGTCTTTCCTGTATCCAACCATGTGATTTATAATTAACTTCTTACCAGTTATGACCAAGAAAAACCCGACAGGGCCTGTATCCGACTGGTTTGGATCATCGCAATCTCTTCAGTCTGCTGGACTGGGGAACAGCCTGTGATGTCGGCCATTTTAGGTTGGACTACAAAGAGCAACCGCCATGTTTCTCTCCCTCCCCTCTCAGCAGTCCAGTTTAAATCCATGCAGCGGCAGCGGCAGCAGCCACAGCGGTGCAGCCCACGCAGCCCATCCTCTCCCTGACCCGAGGAGCAGCCCACATTGACACTCAGGGATCCGAGGGAAGGAAGGAAGGACGATGTAGGAACGCTGTAATTGCGGTTTCCCGATTGTTGTGGAAGACACAAGTCGAGATGCACACATGATGCGAGCGTGATTGACAGCTGGAGGTTAGCTGGAAGGTGCTGGTTTATGGTGGGAGACAGTAGCTGAAACAAGCACTTTTATCTTGTACTAAGACAAAGAAAAACATGGCGGAGGACGTAGAGACAGACACTGGAAGGTGGAACCGGGTGTATGCCGCCGCGTTAGTGCAGTCTTGATAATTGGTTGGAACACACTTGGGGTTTGAGGCCGTTTTTAGGGCCCTCCTCCCCTGAATGAGTAAGATAGCATCTGGCGTAGCTCTTGCAGCGTAGAACATAGCAACCCTGTGTGACCGAGGCCCCTGCAGGACCACAGAGTGCTGTGGGGGAGAGAGGGGGCGGGGGGGCACAGGGGCAGGATGGCAGATGTCTGGACACAACCCTGACAGGAAGAGACGCCGTCGGCTCCGGCCAATGGAGACGGCAGCCACACCTATTGGAGAGACGGGAACACTCGGTGCGGGAAGCTGCACTGAAATAGGAGCAGGGCAGGGACTCTCCAAATACCACTCTGAGGGGTGTGTGGAACAAACAAGCCCCACTCTGGCCTGGGACTGCATGGCACAGGAGATCTCTCTGTGTGTGTGTGTGCATGTGCGCGTGTGTGTTTACCCACATGCGTGTGCTTTAGAGAAGTGAGCTGGTGAGAGAAGGCGGGGGGGCTAGGAGGTGGTTGCCATGGGGACAGTAACACACCAGTGCCGCTGTCGACCTGTCTCCGAGTGCCAAACTTGTTCGGAGAGGGAGGCGGGGTGAGGGAACAGCAGGAGGGGGAAGAGGGAGGAATAAAATGGGAGCAGCCGAGGAAAGGCCTGTGCAGAACACTCATTAGGGTAAGGTTTGTTTCCCTGCACAGATCCTAGAGCAGCATCTGTAATCTCAGGTGATCAGCTGCAGCATTACTCAGGTGAGCTGATTATTTGGCGTCATACTCTGCTAAAGCGAAGATGCCTTTGGTTTTAAAAAGACCAGACTTTTTCTGGAACCTGGTGACTCAAAGATAAAATATCTGTTATTTTGTCTTTTGTTTTTGTCAGTGGTAGCTGCTAGCAACCCAATAGAAAACAAAGGAAATAATACTTAAACTTTAAAGCAGTAGTAGTTTAAGTATTACTTAACACTACTATTTAAACTGGATCTTTTAATAACATTGAAAAAATGTGCATAGAAGTTCATTCTCTTGATGCATTCACAGACTTTAGCTTTGTTTCATTTATTGGGCAAAGGAAAGTACTTCACTTATCAAAGATCAGAGCCAATCGAGGGGAAATTTGTGTTTATTCTACTCTCTTGTTGACTTTGTGCATTGGTAGTTTTTGAATTTAGGGTATGGAGGTATTTATCAGTTTTAATGTGTTTTTTTTTATTGTAGAGAATTTAAAAAAATGTTTTTTTTTCTTCTCTATTTCATTTATTGATTTCCGATCTGAGCCAATCAAGGAAAAAATAGATCCAATCTCATCCTCTCGATGCATCTCTAGTTTCAAACTCAGACATTTAAGACTTTGTTTTTGTGCGTGCGTGTGTGTGTGTGTGTGTGTGTGTGTGAGGGACTGGGAGACGTGTGATCTCTTGCACAATAAAAAATGGCAGCCTCACCACCTTCGTAAACAGGCTTCACACAGGCATGCAGACACCCACCCCCGCACGTTTCATGCACATGCACACACACACACACACACACCCACCTCCCTGCACTTTACTCTCAACCTCACAGGAAATTCACACATACAAACGTTGACAGTGTCACATAAAACACATCCGCATTGCCATCATGGGTAGGATGGTCAGTCGGTGAATGTCGACGCACAGAATTGGTGTTCAAGTCGACCGAAGTTGCCCAAGCAAAAGCTGATGTGAGGTCAGGGGACTTTGTTTCAGCCGTCACCTGAGTGAAGTGATGTCTCTTGATCTGTTTTAAACTCGTCGGTTCGGTTTCGAAAGACACTGTAAGCTGGTTTTCATGAGCTCCAGGTTGTGTCCATTGGCAGAACATTCCAGGCTTCACAGCGAGGTGGGGAGGGAGGGAGGGAAACAGTGTGTGACTGAACCTCGGAGCTCGACGGGGGCTCGGAAGTGCGGGGGTAGACTGGTTGCAGTGGTGGAGATGGTGGGGCGGGGGGTATCATGAAGGAAAATTCCTCACTGAAACACCTCAGTGATTCCTTCACGATAGTTAACACCACCATCACCCCCCCCACACACACACACCCCCCACCCCAAACGGCCTGCCCATCCCCCCACCATCATCAGCATCTACCGTTCGCTCTCCCTCTCTCTACTCTCGCCTGCCACCCACACCCAGCACAACCACGTGATGGATGACTGCGACTGCCCACCCATAAGCCATTGTGTTGGTCATGTGACCAGCCTGGCTTGGCTGAGCGGTGCCCCCTGATGCAGAACTGAATGGCAGTGGTGGTTGGGGTGGGGGTCTAGGTAGGAGGGGCAGACGGCGGCTCAAACCGAGGGCAGTTGCTGCTCTCAGTGGGGTGGAAGAAGGGGGGAAGAGTTCCCTCAGAGGCAAACCTCAATCGCCTGTTAACCCCTCACACACATGCAAGCGCGCGCGCGCACACACACACACACACACACACACACTGACCCCTTATTTACCTTTTAAAAGGGCCAAAGAGTCCTCCTTTAATGCAGATTTATTTCTTTTAAGTTAAATCTTGGAGGCTGACTTCGTTCTGGTGCCTGAGTCAAAGTGAACTCTTTGTACGTTGTGTCACACCCCAGTCCTGTGGGGGTTAACTGAGCGCCGAGCTAATGTACCATGACCCATGTGTGGGGCAAACCAAGCATTTACTCATGCCGTTGTAGGTGCAGAGAAAAGCAGCATGTTTGCAATTAGAGAAGGAGATATGCAACCAGAAAAGGAGGGGTTTATTTAATGACCACATGCAATCTTGGTTTCTTTCACACCTTGGCACAAATGCGTTGCAGGAAGAGGTTTGCATCTTGTTTCAGTTTGGAGCCTCTTCTATTAGGTGAATTTTGTGTTCAGTGTTTAACAGTGTTTAAGGAATGTTTTTTTGCACCAAGAAACCCTGTTCTGCGTTTCAACTGAGGAGGCTCGGTGAGCTTCTCGTGCTCTGCATGAGATGTCATGTCAGGGCAGAATGGCTGGGAGAGTAATTGCCCTAGAGCCGTCCTTCAATCCTGCATCGTTGCCTCCATGTTAGGTGGAGAGAAAGGGAGGAGCGAACCCCTCCACTCCACAGGAAGCTACGCCATCTCCCCCGTAAAGACCCGGACTCTGGACGTGGGACGATTTTATTTATTTTATTTTTTATTTTTTGAGATGCAGGTGTGTTGCTGTTGGTCCTGATTTCTCAGGAATGTGGCTTTCCAGGAAATATTTGATGAAATTCTGTGTTGCTTCATTGTCAAGTTCCCAGCTGTATTGAGCAGCAAATTTCAAAGAAAAATATATTCAAAGTGCTTGGAAATGTGTTTAGTGCCACTTCAGAGGCTCACAGCTCACAGTCTCTGTGGGGGTGTGTCTGAAAGAGAGGAAGTGAGACGCAGCAGCATGGGGGAGGGGAGTAGTAGGGGTGGGACAGGGGCTCTCCCAAAAGCCCTGCAGTGAGGAGGCAGACTGAGACTGAATAGCATCATAAATGAGATTGAGTTTCAGGGAACAGGAAAGTTTACCCTTACTTTTGGCTTTACGTTAAAGATGTTCTTTTTACCCTGAAGATCCAGATATTACCTGAAACTTCTGTAAGAAATCCTTTTATTTTTGTTCGCCTATCTTCTTGTCTAAATTCCAGGTGATCTCAGATATTTTCATTTTATCTCCCTTCTTTTTCAGGATTCTACTAAAACCTCTGCAGAGAATCACTCAGGGACTTATGGACGAGCCCATCCACTCTCCTTCCCCCATGTCTGGTCGATAGTGAAGGAAGAATCCATCTTCTCTCTCTCAGCCCCTCAGCCATTTGACCCCCCCCCCCACCTCCTGTCCCTCTGGTCTCACCATGGCCAGCAAACGGAAGTCCACTACACCCTGCATGATCCCCAGTAAGGTCATCCGCTCTGTGGAGGAGGCGGAGCGGGACTCTCCGGTTCCGCTCCGTCACTCCAGGGTTTCTGGAGGCGACAGACGCAGCCCTTTGGACGCCAGCAGCGACCCGAAACAGGAGGCGGGGGATGCAGATAAGGACGGTGGCATTTACACTTGCAAGCTGTGCAATTTTGAAACTCACGACCTCAACCTGTTCCTAGATCACGTCTACACGGGGCACCCGGACTTTAGGGCGGACCCTGGCTTCGTCTGCATGAGCTGCGGCGTTTCGGCGCCAAAGTTTGAGGGGCTAGCTTTGCACAACGCCAGGGTCCACCCCAGCACTTTGAATACCACCCTGCAGCTGAGGAGGAGGGAGAGGAGGGCGGTGGTGGAGCAGAACCTGCTGATAGGGACGGAGCTGTGCAGGGACAGCGAAATCTCCATCACTAAGACGCCAATCATGAGGATGCTGAAGGGCAAATCTGAACCCAAAAGGATTGTGGTGTCTCACTCGGTGTCAGACGAGCCCGCCTCGGACGTGCATTCTGCCTCCATATCCAGGGAGTCTGAAAGAAAGGAATCTTCTGCTGTTACAGTCACCCACGTCTCCACGATCGTCCACAACGGAACGAGCAAGACCACCCTGCCCTCGGCCATCCAGATTGTCAACGGCTCTACGGGGTTACCCCTTCTGAAGACGCCCATCACACAGGTGGCCCGGATACTGATGCTTTTTTTAAATTTGTTTTAAGTGGATTTACTTTATTAATTGTGTTTTTAAATTCCTTTCAGGTTGTTTCTGTAGCTCAGAACCGAAGTCTTCACCATTCTGCACCCATCACAGCTTCCTCTACTGCTTCTTCCGCTTCTTCGTCCTCATCCTCGCAAAATCTTCCCAAGGTACGAATTGGCTTTTGTGTCAGTGTTGCGCAATTTACCATTCAAGTAAACGGGTTATATGCAGTCATCAGTGAAAGGAAACGTACATTTTATTCCTTTTTTAATTATGGGTTTTATAATATAAACAATATTCCAGGATGGTATGAAAACACAACAGTGAATAATAAACAACATTTAGGTCAGATAATTTGAAATCTCACATTTGTGTGGAATACTTTGCGCTACTCCTCTGTAGCCGTTTTAAAATTGTTGCCTTTCTGCTGCGGATCTGGTTTTGAAGAGTAATCCACTCAATTTTAATGTGATTGAGGTCAGAAGGTTGGGTCGGCCGTTCAGGAAGCCCTTTAACATTCATGAGAACAGCGATGTCCTCAATGAACCCATTGACTTGCAAGTAAGTGCTTTTGGAGTGATCGTTAAGGGGTTAATGCAAAAACAGTTTGATGTGTGTTTTAGGTCATCAGTGGGCTCTTAAAAAAATTCCAACAAAAATAAGTTGGACAGGAAAGTTTGTTTCAATGAGGTCCAGCTTGAAAAACGTGCCTTAAACAGTTTGCAAGTAAACATCGTCATATATACTCAATACAAATGATTATTATGTAAATTTTTTCCACAATCATTGTCTTGTTGGAACAGCCAACTGAGCCTATAACAACATGGAACTTGCAGGAACATCAGGATGAGTAGTTTCATCCTGTTGTGGATGAAACAGGAAAAGGTTATGCCACTAGTTTTAGCAATATTTCAGATATTTAAAATAATATCAATAATTATCGATATCGACTGATATGAAACCCTTATATTTTCATACGTTTTTCATCCATGTCGTCCAGCCCTAAGTGTGATTAAACCTGTATGGTTCAATCCGACTCCGGACTGATTTTCCGTCTCTCCCTGCAGGTGATGATCCCTCTGAGCAGCATCCCCACCTACAGTGCCTCCATGGACTCCTCCTCCTTCCTGAAGACCTCTTTCAGCAAGTTCCCGTACCCCACCAAGGCTGAGCTGTGCTACCTGACCGTGGTCACCAAATTCCCCGAGGAGCAGATCAAGATCTGGTTCACCGCTCAGCGGCTGAAGCAAGGCATCAGCTGGTCCCCGGAGGAGATCGAGGAGGCCAGGAGGAAGATGTTCAACACCATCATCCAGACGGCGCCGGTCAGCTCCCAGAACCAAACCCAGAGTCACCACAGCCCGGCGCCGCACACCATCACAGTGCTGCCCGCCTCCCTGGGGCCCACCGGGATCCCTCAGTTCCTGCAGGGGTCTCTCGTCAGCCCAGGTGGCGTAATCGTCACGCAGCCTGTCGTGGCAAATGGAATCCAGGTCAGCAGTGCCCCCGTGGCCCTGGCGGTCACGCCGAAGCCCCAGGCGGCGGCTCGGCCCACGATGCAGGCCCGACCCGCCGCCGCTCTGGTGGCGGACAAAAGCCCCAGCATGCTGGTGGGAACGGTGGGCAGCAGTAAAGCTGTGGGAGGGGGCACCAGCAGCACTGAGGGCGGCGTCATCAACCTTAGCCTTGGAAGCAGTAGTCATGGCAACGCTAAGGGGAGCAGTGTCAATGATAAACATGGCAGTGCTAATGCTAACTCCAGCGAGAAAAACAGCAGTGATGTTAGCAGCCGTGCTAGCGCCAGAAACACGGACAGTAAACCGGGCAGCGGCGGCGCTGGTCAGACGGACAGTAAGACCCCCACGGAAAACAAAGCTGTCATCAGCAGCTGTGAAAACCTGAAGAGCAAAGATGCTAATGGTAGCAGCAACCATCACAAC